CCCATTCAAGTCTTATCTCGTAGATAGCAAGACTGATGCTACGACCTTCTGACATGACATAGGCAGTTTGTAATAAAACAATAAAACATGTATTACCACATTCATAGTGAAAAAATGTAATACATCGAAAATGTACAGGAAATATAGTTATCGTAATCCGTCATATTGTGAGCAGCTATTTTGATCCACCTGGACATCCCAGTATCCTAGTTACTTTGGGCATGCGCATTCGCATTTTTCTGAGTTGAAACGCTTATGTGAGAGCGAGATTGAAACGAGATCTTGGTATCATGTCACTGTAGTTGCAAACCCCAAGTAATGTACTTCTGGTAGCACCTATGTGTATGACAATAGTGTGTCTATGATCAAAAATAAGGCATTTCAATGACTGAGCATCAAAGAAATGCATTTTTAGTTTTATGTATACCTCCATATTGACGGCACCTGCAATAGACCATTTATGTGTGAAATCATACGTAAAGCCTGACAAATAAAGGTTACAGTGCCATAGTGGTGTCAAAACATCGGGCGAGATTCAACAAACGTGAAAGTATTTGTGGGTATGATTTTTAAACTTTTCATGTGGTTTACACGCCAGTTTTAATTTCCACCAATAATTGCCAAACGTACAGCATTTGTTTCTCACAAGTGCATAAAGCGGGGGAGTCGTTATGGCATGGCGTTACGCGTATGCATCAGATGGCCATAGCATGTCATTGTTTACAAACAAGTGCCAACCCATAAGCCTTAGCATTTTTTGCGTGTGTTGTTATCATCGCTTGGGACTCAATTCCTGCGTGTACACCCTCCCGCTTTAATTTAAAGCTCTTCTGACCAACATTGAACATTAGACGTCACCTGATAAGTAGTCATCAAAAACCTTGCAATATATCATCAAACTAGTCGCATTTTGAATGTAATAAAGTAATAATTTGATGATAATCAATTTTGATGAAGTTAGGGTGGCTTGATGCCTCTGAATCATCGACATTTCAACATGGAAAACTAAAATGAGAAGTTCAGATGTTTGATCTGCGTCTTTCACACAAGATCTGACCATTGAACAGAAAATCACCTATTGGTGTCTTGATTGACAGAACTTACCTGTGCTTCGATTCGAGCTGCGGTCTCGGCAGCTAATTGATCCTTTAGGAGATGCACTTGGGCGATCGCTACTTGTGTCTGCTGCTGTTGCTGCTGCAATTGCTGATGCAGGAGCTGTTTGTGATGATACATACTCAGTGACCCCTCGTTTTCTGCTCGCAGCAAGGGCGGAGACATCAAAGGTGTCGTTAACATTGTACTCTCCATCTATGTGAGAAAATTACGACAAACATGACTTTTATACAAAAAAAAGACACACCCAAATTAAATTTAGAGATTATAATATTTATAATATTTTTAAATTGAATGGATATGCAACATGAAATGGTTGAACTATGAAGACGACGCCACCAACATTTATTTCCCCATTGCTATTCACCTTTTACAAAATGAAAAACATTTTTTTTAGTTTTTCCCATTTTTTTTTTATATCAAAATCTAAAGTACATGGAAAATTATACCCATTTGCTCCAAAACTATCAAAAACAAGCAAAATGTTACACTTAAATTCTGGTGAGAAAAATTCTGATGCTTTCAGTGTCTCTGCTCAAATATTTCCGCAAAGATATTTTAGATAATATTTATCAATGATTGGATGTGATCTCTGCAGGGGGTCTGACATCACAGAAGCTTACTTGATTTGATCTGAAGCGTCCGGCAAGAGAAACTGGTGTTCCTTTGAATGCATCCAAATCAGTTGCTCTGCCTGATAAGTATCCTTGGGGTGTTGCCATGGCAGCTGCCAATGTATGTGGGGTATCATCATCTGCATCAATGTCAGTCTCTTCCACATTATCAATATCATCTGCGATTCCACCATCAGCAGATCGTGAACCCCCTTTAAAGAAAAGAAAAACAAAGTAAACCACCAAAAACCTTCTACACCTTCCTCCTCTAACACCAATTTATATTCAAGTCTCAGAAATTAAAAGGAGACTTAAACTTTGGAAATAAAAGATGACACACTCCCCTCTTTTGCGCGACTACAAAGCTTATAGTCCTTTTTTTAAGTCAATCTAAAATTGCGTAGGATTTAACTTACACGTATGGGCCACACACAAATTAAAATTTGTTATTATTCCTAATATTCATAAGATTGATAGCATGGATGAAAATTGTTCAAGTCATTTTAACCACAAGTATTGTTAACATTTCTGGTCCAAAGTTTCTGTGAAAAACAATGCGGTGCTGTAATTTTTGTTTTTTGGGAAACATCAAGAAAGTCGATCTGCACATGTGTTAACAATAGTGTGCCACCAACAGCAGGCACCTCCCTTTTCTTTTTATTTAAAAATCAATAAAAATCCTGCGTGACGTTTGGAACTGACGTGCTCGCTGACAAGATACATTTCTAATTAGGGGGTGTGTTTAATAAACACTATTGATAGACGGGTAAAAGATATAAAAAAAATTATCTTCTGTTTCACACAAAAGGAAAATCAAATTAAACAGAAATCACCAGCTGGCCAAAAATAATTTTGTTAACATTTGGGTTTTTTTTTTGTTATTTTGCTTAGTATTGCGGTTCACTTTCATTAAACAATTGATCTTTTTTGTTGTTGTTATTATTTAATTGTATTTGTAGCTTAAAGCGTGGTGGTCGTCGCACAGCGTGTGTTCGAATTTCATGTAAATAAACAATGTATTTTACACACGTTGTATACG